CTACAACTATCTAATCTTTGACAAACCTGACAAAAACAAGCAAGGGGGAAGGATTCCCTGTTTAATAAATGGTGTTGGGAAAACTGGCTAGCCATCTGCAGAGAGCTGAAACTGGACCCCTCCTTACACTCTACACTAAAATTAACTCCAGATGGATTAAAGATTTAAACATAGGACAGAGGCAGCAAACCACATTGCCATGTATGTACCTATGCAGCAATCCTGCATGATCTGTACATGTAGGAACCTAAAGTATAATTTAAAAAAGAGAGAGAGAGATGTAGCAATGGTTCTAGGAGAAAACACACACACACACACAAACACATTGAGAAGTCATGAATCTTTATTTTACCATTTTTCTGAAATGACTGTGGGTGTTTACATCTAAATAATAGCTATCACCACTTTCTGATCAATTTTGAAAACTAATTCTTTTTTTTTTTTTCCCATTTATTTATTTTATTGTATTTTAGGTTTGGGGGTACATGTGAAGAACATGCAAAATTGTTGCATAGGAACACACATGGCAGTGTGATTTGCTGCCTTCCTCCCCATCACCTACATATGGCATTTCTCCCCCTGCTATCCCCCCCCAGCTCCCCACCCTCCACCGTCCCTCCCCTATTTCCCCCCAACCGACCCCAGTGTGTAGTGCTCCCCTCCCTTTGTCCATGTGCTCTCATCGTTCAACACCCGCCTATGAGTGAGAACATGCGGTGTTTGATCTTCTGCTCCTCTGTCAGTTTGCTGACTAATTCTTACAATAAGTGTTTTTCACAAAAAATCCTGGATTTAGTTCTAAAATCAGAATAATCAATGCAAACTTTGAATCCAAAAAAAAAAAAAAAGATTTAAACATAAAACTTAACGCCATAAAAATCCTAAAAGAAAACTAGGCAAAACCATTCAGGACATAGGCATCAGTAAGTACTTCATGACTAAAACACCAAAAGCAATGGCAACAAAAGCCAAAATAGAAAAATTGGATCCAATAAAACTTAACAGTTTCTTCACAAGGAAAGAAACAATCATCAGAGTGAACTGGCAACCAACAAAATGGGAAGAAATTTTTGCAATATACCCATCTGACAAAGGGCTGCTATCCAGAATTTACAAAGAACTAAAACAATTTACAAGAAAAAAAAAATTCAAAAGTTGGTGAAGGATATGAACAGACACTTTTCAAAAGAAGATATATATGAGGCCAACAAACATATGAAAAAACGCTCATCATCACTGGCCATCACAGAAATGCAAATCAAAAATGGTATCACGTTGAGATACCATCTCACGCCAGTTAGAAAGACGATCATTAAAAAATCTGAAGACAGGCGGGGCGCCGTGGCTTACGCCTGTAATCCCAGCACTTTGGGAGGCCTAGGCGAGTGGGTCACGAGGTCAGGAGACCGAGACCATCCTGGCCAAGACGGTGAAACCCCGTCTCTACTAAAAAGTACAAAAAATTAGCCGGGCATGGTGGCGCGTGCCTGTCGTCCCAGCTACTCGGGAGGCTGAGGCAGGTGAATTGCTTGAAACCGGAAAACAGAAATTGCAGTGAGCCGGGATCGTGCCACTGCACTCCAGCCTGGCAATAGAGCCAGACTCTGTTTAAAAAAAAAAAAACACCTGAAGACAACAGATGCTAGAGAGGATGTGGAGAAATAGGAACACTTTGACACTGTTGGTGGGAGTGTAAATTAGTTCAACCATTGTGAAAGACAGTGTGGCAATTCCTCAAGGATCTAGAAATAGAAATTTCATTTGACCCAGCAATCCCATTACTGGGTATATACCCAAAGGATTGTAAATCCTTCTGTTATAAAGACACATGCACATGTATGTTCATTGCACACTGCTTACAATAGCAAAGATCTGGAACCAACCCAAATGCCCATCAATGATAGACTGGACAAAGAAAATGTGGCACATATACACCATGGAATACTATGCAGCCATTAAAGAGGATGAGTTCATGTCCTTTGTAGGGCCATGCATGAAGCTGGAAACCATCATTCTCAGCAAACTGACACAAGAACAGAAAGCAAAACACCACATTTTCTCACTCATAGGCAGGTGTTAAACAGTGAGAACACATGGGCACAGGGAGGGGAACATCACACACTGAGGTGTGTTGGGGGGTGGGTGGCTAGGGGAGGGACAGCAGTGGGTGGGGAAGTAGGGGAGGAATAACATTAGGAGAAATACCTAATGTAGGTGATGGGGGGATGGAAGCAGCAAACCACTACGGCATGAGTATACATATGTAACAATCCTGCAAGATCTGCACATGTACGCAGGAACTTAAAGTTTCCAAAAAAAAAAAAATCTTAAAGGCAGCTAGAGAAAAAGATCAGGTCACATACAAAGAGAATCTTGTCAAGCTAACAGGGGATGATCAGCCTATTTTCAATATTCATTTAAAAAGGAAATTACAAGAAAGAATTTTCTATCCTGCCAAACTACGCTTCATAAGCAAAGAAGAAATAAAATCTTGTCCAAACAAGTAAATACCATGAAATTCTATTACCATTAGACCAGCCTTGTAAGAGATCATTAAAAGAGTTCTAAATATGGAAATGAAAGACCTGCTACCACAAAACACACTTAAGTATATAGCCCACAGATTCTATAAAGCAGTCACACAATAGAAATTACAAAGCAACCAGCTAACAGTTTCACAATAGAATCAAAACCTCAGGTAAAAGGCAAAGAGTAGTACATTGGATTAAAAATAAGACCCATCCTTCTACTGTCTTCAGAAATACAAAGCCCATCTTCTACTGGTAGAAGTAGAAGAGCCATCTCAGACCTAGGAGACCCATCTCAGACCTAGAAAACCCTAAAGAACCTTCCAAAAAGCTCCTGGAACTGTTATACAACTTCAATGAAATTTCAGTACACAAAATACAAAATGTGTAAAAATCGGTGGCATTTTTATACACTAAAAATTTTCATGCTGAAAGCTAAATCAAGAACCCAATCCCATTTACAATAGCCACAAAAAGAAAACCTAGGAATACAGCTAAAAAGAGGGGCAAAAGGTCTCTACAAAGGAGAACTACAAAACACTGCTGAACAAAATCATAGATGACACAAACAAATGAAAAAACAGCTCATGCATATGGATTGAAACAATCAATATCATTAAAATGACTAGACTGCCAAAGCAAACTACAGATTCAATGTTATTCCTATCAAACTACCAGTGTCATTTTTCACAGAATTAGAAAAAAAATATTCTAAAATTCATATGGAATCAAAGAAGAACCCAAATAGCCAAAACAATCCTAAGCAAAAAGAACAGTTGAAAGCTTCACATAAGGTGACTTCAAACTATACTGTAAGATTACAGTAACCAAGACAACATGTAACTGGTACAAAACAAATTGAACAGAAGTAGAGAAGCCAGAAATAAAGCCACACTCCTATAGCTATCTGATCTTCAACAAAGTTGACAAAAATAATCAATGAGGAGATGACTATCTATTCAGTAAATTGAACTAGGATAACTGACTAGCTATATGCAGAATGAAACTGGAACACTTCCTTGCACCATATACAAAAATTAACTTGAGATGGAATAATGATCTAAATTTAAGACCTCAAACTATAAGAATTCTATAGAAAAAAATCTATGAAATATCATTCTGGATACAGGCTTCATCAAAGAATTTATGAATAATTCCTCAGAAGCAATTGGAACCAAAAATGAATATTGACAAGTGGGACCTAATAAAAGAGCTTCTGCACAGCAAGAAAAACTATCAACAGAATAAACAGACAACCTACAGAACGGGACAAAATATTTGCAAACTGTGAATCCAACAATGGTCCAACATCAAGAATTTATAAGAAACTTAGACAATTCAACAAGTTAAAAAGCAAATAACCCCATTAAAAAGTGGGCAAAAGACATATATTCTTCAAAGAAGACATACACATGGCCAACAAGCATATGACAAAAATGTTCAACATCACTAATCATCAGATAAATGCAAATCAAAACCACAATAAGATATCTCATACCAGTCAGAATGGATATAATTAAAAAGCCAAAAAATAAGAGATGTTGGTGAGGCTGCAGAGAAAAGGGAACACTTATACACTACTGGTGGGAATGTCAGTTAGTTCAGCCATTATGGGAAGCAGTTTGGAGCTTTCACTAAGAACTAAAAACAGAACTACCATTTGATGCAACAATTCCACTACTGGGGATGCACCCAATGGAAAACAAATTGTTCTACCAAAAAGACACATGTGCTTGTATGTCCATCCCCACACTAGTCACAATAGGAAAGACATAGAAGCAACCAATGGTGTGTGGCATAAAGAAAATGTGGTATATATACACTATGAAATGCTATACAGCCACATATATGCAGCTGGAGGCCATTATCTCGAGAGAATTAATGTAGCAACAGAAAACCAAATACCACATGTTCTCATATAAAAGTGGGACACAAATATGGAAACAATATACACTGACAATTACTAAAGAGGATAGAGAGATATAAAAGCAAGAGCTGAAAAACTACCTATTGGATACTACCCTCACTACCTGGGTGATGGAATTATTTGTACCCTAAACTTTAGCATCACACAATATACCTATGTAACAAACTTGAACATGCACTTCCTGAATCTAAAATAAAAGTTGAAAATTTTTTTTAAAAAAGATATTTCATATGGTATCATTTCAAAATCAGCCAGTCGATGATAACTAAATACAAAATTTAAAGTAAACTTGATTTTAAAACTAAACTGGTCCTCCGTCTCCGAGGTAGGATGCAGATATTAGTGAAGACCCTGACTGGTAAGACCATCACCCTTGAGGTCGAGCCCAGTGACACCATTGAGAACGTCAAGGCAAAGATCCAGGACAAGGAAGGCATCCCTCCTGACCAGCGGAGGTTGATCTTTGCTGGAAAGCAGCTGGAAGATGGGCACACCCTGTCTGACTACAACATCCAAAAAGAGTCCACTCTATATCTGGTACTTTATTTTTTAAGTGTTCCAACATTATTTACAACCAGACAGCCCTGCTAGCACCCACCCTCCCCCCCCCGCCACCACCGCCTCCTCAGCATTGCTCTGGGGGAGGAGCTGGATGAACTATGACCCTTCTGCCAAGCCCAGGTGCTAGGAGGAACCCCTTGCTTGAGGTGTGCAGTGTGGACTTATCACTTCTTCTGGGCTTGTGCACTGGCCCGTTGAATCTTGTCAGCCATGGCCCCATCTGTGGCTCCCATGCAGTGGGACAATACAAGACTCAGCTCAGCCTCGTTCAGGTGTTAGATGGCCACGTCTGCAGCCTGAGCCACATCGCCAGTGAGAAGGAAAGCCTTGATCTTCTGCTCAGGACCCACACGGGAAGCATATTTCTTGACTTTGTATTTGTTGTGTTGTTTCATGCAGATCTCCACAAAAGGCAGGTAGCCAATGGGTGATTTCTTGCTCTTGGAAAACTTCTCTAGTTCTTCCCAGTCTTCCAAATCTGCCAGGGCAGTCAGCTTCAGCCACCAGAGCCTCTTGACAGGGATGCGGAAATCACGTGCCAGCTGGTCTGCACGCTTGTTGTGACCACCAAGAATGAGGGCGGTAATAGTGTCACGCAGAGACAGGTCTAGGAACTGGCCCCCCAGCTTGTCTTCTAGGCTCCACTGCAGCCATAGAAGCTGCATTTGATCCTCTGTAGCCTTGGCTGCAAACTCATTCTTGGCCTTGTAGAAGGCATCGGCGGCTGTCTGAAGAGCTGCTATTCGGCCCTCAATCCGCTTTTCTGCAGCATAGCTGGCTCAGATGTGGAAGCTGCCCAATTCCTGGTGATTGTCATCCTGATTGTAAAGGTCCTTCAGAGTCTCTAGCTCTTGATGCTTACAGAACTGTCAGTACAAACTCAAGGCCATGGGCTGATTCCGAAGAGTCATGAAAAAAATCTACTCGGTTCAGCTCATTCTTCAGGTGCAGCAACACTGTGAACTGACCAGGTCAGTGGCTCCACTCTCAATGGCCTTTCTTAGTGCCAGTTTGTTCCTCTTCATCTTTAGGAGAAGGAGTACCTGATCCCCTGAGCGTGGCTCATACGCCAGCAGGTTGATGTCCAGCTCCATGCGGCCACAGCCATAGGCTCATGCAGCGATGTCAGAGTAAGAGACACCAGGTGAGTCCCCCAGCTTCTTGTTAATGGCTCGAGCCACATCCTCATCTGAGACATCCTTCCATTGCACCTTATAGTAGGCCCAATGGGCCAGGATTCTGCTGATGCCCTGTACTTCAGGAAGGTGCAAGTACTTGCATATCTGGATGGCCAGGGGATAAAGTCTCTGCAACACAAGCCTGTCCAGCAGCACCCGGATGGTGAGCTGCTTGTGTTGGCTATAGGTGAGTGGGATCCCAATGTGATAGTCCCTAACAGCATTGAACACATGCAGGTCTTGACACATGCGCACGAAGCTGTCGGGTGGAAATCTGTCCAGGAAACACTTTCCGAAGGAGGCAGCCCTGAGCAGACTCTGCCGCATGTCTGGCTGGTACTCATGTCCCGCAGCCTCAATGCACTGCTGCACGGCCTGGGTCAGCCAGCCCAGCTCCTGGATCTCCCGCAGGTACTCGTCTGCCTCCTGACTCTCTTTCTCATATTCCTTCTGAGCCTCCAGGAGCAGCGCCCCAGGGGCTATTGAGGCAATTTTGAAGATCTCCTTGCTGGCCGCTGGAACCTCATGCAGAAACCCATGGGTGCTGCGGGAGAAGATGCGGACACCATGGAGCTCAGGTACAAGGTAGGAGTCCTCATCCAGCACACACTGGATGCTCTTGGGTGCATTGCCCACCACAATCAGCCGCCTCTCCCAGGCCACCAACACCGCCCTCTCCTTGCTAGGAGGACGGCTGCACCAGACATAGACAAGCAAGCTGGAAGCTTGTGTGGTTGAACGTGGGTAGGAAAGAACTACCTGTGACTAGGTATGTTCAAAATGGCGGCTTTATCATCCCTTCCCTTTGCCAGCCACGTGTACAGTAAGGAGCAGACAAAAAGGCACGAGTCAAGTGGAAAGTCCTATTTGCATAATAAGATTAGAGTGGGGTGGCCAGCCTTCCCTACCTGCTATGTAAATGTCACACTTGATTGAGCCAATCATCTGCTTTGGAGGTGCCCGGACGTTGCAGTTGAACTCACACAGCTTCTCCTTGAGTGATGCCGTCCCCATTCAGATGTAGCCTCTGCCTGTGAAGAGTGCCAGATGTCGGTAGGTGAAGGAGACAGCCATCTGTGGGAAGCTGCTTACTCCTGGGGCCAGGCCAGGGGGGTAACTGCGGAGCAGGCTGCATGGTCCAGGAGGTATAGATCAGGCACCACAGACAGAAGAATGTGTGCCACTCGGTCCTGGCACAGCACAGTCCAGCAGAAGGGTGAACTTTGCAGACCAGGCACCTCTGGCATCCGGCGGAGTTTGAGGTCACCCACATTGGCACTGAGGGTGAAGCGGTGCGGCTCGATTGTACAGGCTACTATTTGTTAGAAAATGATTTGGGGCTGCTTTGCATTAAAAAGAGAAACCTTACCAAGGACTCCCAAATGCTTACTATCTCCCTAAGTAATTTCTTCTTAATTTCTGTATCAGCGAGTACTCAATTTCCAACTGCAAAACTTACTACAAAGTATAATAATCAAAACAGTGTGGTACTAGCATATAGACACCAAGACCAATGGAATAAAACTGAAATCAAGAAATAAACCTAAACATCTATGGCCAATTTACTTTGCTATCAAGGGTGCCTAAACCATTCAATCTGAGGAAAAAATATCTTCAATAAATGATGATAAGACCATTGGATGATGAAATGTAAAAGAATGAAGCTGGAACCTTCCCCAGCTCACTCCAAATGAAAAATATAACTAACAATGACTGGAAAAACTTAAATATAAGAGCCAAAACTATAAAACTCTCAGAATAAAACATAGGAGTAAATCTTTATGACTTAATATTTGGTAATAGATTTATAAATTTGATACCAGAGTGGCAAAAGAAAAAATAGATAAACCAAACTTCATCAAAATTGAACTTTGTCCAACAAGAATATAATTAAGAATGTGAAATAACCACTGACAGAATGGGAGGAAATATTTTTATATTATGTATATGTGATAGTTTAATGATTTGAATACATAAACAATTCTAATAGCTTAAAAAGAAAAATAAAGGCAACTTAATTTAAATAAAAAATGGACTTAAATGGCATTTCTCCAAAGAAGATATACAAATAAATAATCATATATTAAAAGAAGTTCAAAATCACTGGTCATTAAATACAAGTTAAAACCACAAGGAGAGCTGGGTGTGGTGGCTCACACCTGTAATCCCAGCAGTTAGGGAGGCTAAGGTGGGCAGATCACCTGAGGTCAAGCATTCTAGACCAGCCTGGCTAACATGGTGAAACCCCATCTCTACCAAAAACATAAAAATTAGCCAGGTGTTGTGGTGCATGCCTGTAATCCCAGCTACTCTGGAGGCTGAGGCAGGGGTATTGCTTGAACCCAGGAGGCAAGGTTCCAGGGATCTGAGATCATGCCACTGCACTCCAGCCTGGGCAACAGAGTGAGACCCTGTCTCTAAATAAATCAATAAATTCACATTGAGATACCACTTTGCATTCACTAGATTGGCTTTAATAAATACAGAAAATTACAAGTATTAGCAATTATGTGGAAAAATAGAAATCCTTTTGCATTGCTGGAAGGAATATAAAGTGCCACATTCACTGTAGAAAAGTTTGACTCTTATACAAGAAGATAAACATAAAATTACCATTTGACCCAGCAACTCAACTCCTGAGAATATACCCAAGAATAATTAAAACATGCCCATAAAGAAACATACACAATGGTCAACACAGAATTATCTATAAGAGCCCAAAGTTGGAAACAATGCAAATGTCCATAAACAGATGAATAACAAATTGTGATATATGTGCATGGAAAATGAAATATTTTTCAGCCACAAAAAAGAATGAAGTGCTGATATATGCTGCAACTTAGATGAGTCTTCAAAACATTATAAATGAAACAACCCAGAAATAACAGGTTACATATGCTATGAGTCCTTTACATAGCCATAACAGGCAATCTCATAGAGACAGAAAGATTAGAGGTTATTACATGATGTGGTAAGGGAATGGAGTGATTATTTAATCAATATGATATGTTTTTGTGGAGTGATAAAAACATTTTGAAATCAGAGAAAGCTGGTGGTTGCACAACATTGTGAATACATTAAATACCACTGAAGTGTACTCTTTAAACTGGTTAATCTATGTTATGTGAATTTCACTTCAATTTTTTAAATGGCATAACTCCCTGTTCTACAGATTTAATGCAATCCTGTCAAAATCCCCCTTAGCTCCTTTGAAGAAAAGCAAGTTCTTAGAGACCTACAGAGACTTAGACTCCTAATTTGTTAGTCCGCATCTTTTAATTAGAGCATTTAGCCCATTTACATTTAAGTTTAATATTGTTATTTGTGAATTTGATCCTGTCATTATAATGCTAGCTGGTTATTTTGCCCATTAGTTGACACAGTTTCTTCATAGTGTCAATCGTCTTTACCATTTGGTATGTTTTTGCAGTGGCTAGTACTGGTTGTTCCTTTCCATATTTAGTGATTCCTTGAGGAGCTCTTGTAAGGCAGACCTGATGGTAACAAAATTTCTCAGCATTTGCTTGTCTGTGAGGGATTTTATTTCTCCTTCACTTATGAAGCTTAGATTTTCTGGATATGAAATTCTGGGCTTAAAAATTATATTATTTAAGAATGATAATATTGGCCCCCAGTCCCGTCTGGCTTGTAAAGTTTCTCCTGAGAGATCTGTTGTTAGTCTGATGGCCTTCCCTTTGTGGGTAACCTGAGTTTTCTCTCTGGAAGTCCTTAACATTTTCTCCTTCATTTCAACCTTGGTGAATCTGATGATTATGTGTCTTGGGATTGCTATTCTCAAGGAGTATCTTTGTGGTGTTCTCCACCGTTTCTGAATTTGAATATTGGCCTGCCTTGCTGGAATGGGGAAGTTGTCCTGGATAATATCCTGAAGAATGTTTTCCAACTTGGTCCCATTCTCCCTATCACTTTCAGGTACACCAGTCAAATGTAGGTTTGGTCTTTTCACAGTCTTATATTTCTTGGAGGTTTTGTTCATTGCTTTTCATTCATTTTTTTCTAATCTTGTCTTCATGTTTTATTTCACTAAGTTGATCTTCAATCTCTGATATCCTCTCTCCTGCTTAATTGATTCATCTATTGATACTTGCATGTGTTTTGTATAAGTTCTTGTGCTGTGTTTTCCAGTTCCATCAGGCCATTTATGTTATTCTCTAAACTGGTTATTCTAGTTAACAATTCCTTTAGCCTTTTTTCAACGTTCTTAACTTCCTTGTATTGGGTTAGAACATGCTTTTTTAGCTTGGTGGAGTTTTTTATTACCCACCTTCTGAAGCCTGCATCTGTCAATTCATTAAACTCATTCTCTGCCCTGTTTTGTTCCCTTGCTGGTGAGGAGTTGTGATCCTTTGGAGGAGAAGAGGCATTCTGGTTTTTGAAATGTTCAGCATTTTTTCACTAGTTTTTCCTCATCTTTGTGGATTTATCTACCTTGGGTCTTTGATGCTGGTGACTTTTGGATGGAGTTTTTGTGTGGACATCCTTTTTGTCGATGTTGATGCTATTTCTTTCTGTTTGTTAGTTTTCCTTCTAACACTTAGGCCCCTCTTCTGCAGGTCTGCTAGAGTTTGCTGGAGCTCCACTCCAGACACTGTTTGCCTGGATATCACCAGCAGAGGTTGCAGAACAGCAAATATTGTTGCCTGTTCCTTTTTCTGGAAGCTTTATCACAGAGGGACACCTGCCAGACACCAGCCAGAGCTCTTCTGTCTGAGGTGTCTGTTGAACCCTGCTGGGAAGTGTCTCGCAGTCATGAGGCATGGGGGTCAGGGACCCACCTGAGGAGGCAATTTGTCTTTTAGAGATCTTGAGTGCTGTGCTGGGAGATCTGCTGCTCTCTTCACAGCTGGCAGGCAGGAATGTTTAAGTCTGCTGACACTGTGTCCACAGCCACCCCTTTCCTCAGGTGCTCTGTACTAGGGAGATGGGAGTTTTATCTATAAGCCCCTGCCTTTCTTTCAGCGATGTCCTGCCCAGAGAGGAGGAATATAGAGAGGTAGTCTGGCTACAACAGCTTTGCCAAGCTGCAGTGGACTCCACCTAGTTCGAACTTCCTGGAAGCTTTGTTTACACTGTGAGGGGAAAACTGCCTACTCAAGCCTTGTAATGGTGGACAACCCTACCCCCATCAAGCTCCAGCATCCCAGATCAACTTCATGGCTGCCGTGCTGGCAGTGAGAATTTCAAGCCACTGATCTTATCTTGCTAGGCTCCATAAGGGTGGGTTCCACTAGACCACTTGGCTCTCTGGCTTCAGCCCCCTTTCCAGGAGAGTAAACAGTTCTGTCTCACTGGCATTTCTGATGTCACTGGGGTGTAAAAAAAAAAAAAAAAAACTCCTGCAGCTAGCTTGGTGTCTGCCCAAATGGCCACCAAGTTTTGTGCTTGAAACCCAGGGTTCTCGTGGTATAGGCACCTTAGAGAATCTCCTGGTCTGTGGGTTGTGAAGACCATGGGAAAAGTGTAGTATATGAGCTAGATAGCACCGTCCCTCATGGCAGGGTCCCACATGGCTTCCCTTGGCTAGGGGTGGGAGTTCCTTGACACCTTGTACTTCCCAGGTAAGGCAAGACCCCATCCTGCTTCTGCTTACCCTCAATGGGCTGCACCCACTGTCTAACCAATCCCAGTGAGATGAACCAGGTACCTCAGTTAGAAATGCAGAAATCACCTGCCTTCTGTGTTGATCTTGCTGGAATCTGCAGACTGGGGCTGTTCCTATTTGACCATCTTTATTGTTTAGGTAGATTATTTTTATGTAAACAATCTTGTCTATGTACTCTAATTATTTAACAATTTAATTTTATATTTTCCATGATGCTTACTGGATATTCATGCATACAATAAAAACTTAAAGTGCTTCTCAAGCAATTCTGCTTGACCAGTTAAACATCCCTAGTAAACACAGAACTAGTCAGTGAATCACAAATACACAAGCAGTCACTTAACTAAGCTTTTGTTAACATTTTACCTTCTTCATTTTGATCAGGAAGCAATCAATGAAGTCCCGAGGGTTGTTAATGTCTACTGATCCTTGGTGTTCTTTTACTTTCTCCAAAATAAAACTTTTTATCAAAGCAATGTTTTTAAGTAACTTGTTATGGGTTCCCGGGAAAT